TTACCCTCTTCCTGCCTGGGCCAATTTTCAGCTTTCAGCGCTGTCGCACTTTGAATGACAGTTGCGCGGTCGTGCAACACTGTACCCAAACAAAATTTTTATAATTTTTTTGAGACAGATAGAGCTGTCTTTTGGTGGTATTAATCACGACTGGGAGGGGGTATTTTTTTTACTAAACAAATAAAAAAGACTGAAAATTTTGAAAAAATAAGTTTTTTTCTTAGCTTGTTATAACATTTTGTAAATAAGTAATTTTTCTCCTTCACTGATGTGCGCTAATGAGGCTGCACTGATGGACACTGATGAGGAGGCACTGATAGGTGGCACTGATGGGCATGGACAGGCATCACTTGTGGGTATTGACAGGTATCACTGATGGGCACTGAAAGGCAGCACTCATATATGGCACTGATGGGCTGCACTGATGGACGGCACTGATGAGGAGGCACTGATAGGTGGCACTGTTGGGCATTGACAGGCATCACTGGTGGGCATTGACAGGCATCACTGATAAGCACTGAAAGGCAGCACTCATATATGGCACTGATGAGGAGGCATTGATAGGTGGCACTGATGAGCATTGACAGGCATCACTGGTGGGCACTGAAAGGCAGCACTCATATATGGCACTGATGAGGAGGCATTGATAGGTGGCACTGATGAGAATTGACAGGCATCACTGGTGGGCACTGAAAGGCAGCACTCATATATGGCACTGAAAGGCAGCACTCATATATGGCACTGATGAGGAGGCACTGATAGGTGGCACTGATGGGCATTGACAGGCATCACTGGTGGGCACTGAAAGACAGCACTCATATATGGCACTGATGAGGAGGCATTGATAGGTGGCATTGATGGGCATTGACAGGCATCACTGGTGGGCATTGACAGGCATCACTGATGGGCACTGAAAGGCAGCACTCATATATGGAACTGATGGGCGGCACTCATATATGGCAATGATGAGGTGGCACTGATGGGCATTGATAGGCATCACTGATGGGCACTGAAAGGCAGCACTCATATATGGCACTGATGAGGAGGCATTGATAGGTGGCACTGATGGGCATTGACAGGCATCACTGGTGGGCATTGACAGGCATCACTGGTGGGCACTGAAAGACAGCACTCATATATGGCACTGATGAGGAGGCATTGATAGGTGGCAATGATTGACAGGCATCACTGATGGGCATTGACAGGCATCACTGGTGGGCACTGAAAGACAGCACTCATATATGGCACTGATGAGGAGGCATTGATAGGTGGCATTGATGGGCATTGACAGGCATCACTGGTGGGCATTGACAGGCATCACTGATGGGCACTGAAAGGCAGCACTCATATATATGGAACTGATGGGCGGCACTCATATATGGCAATGATGAGGTGGCACTGATGGGCATTGACAGGCATCACTGATAAGCACTGAAAGGCAGCACTCATATATGGCACTGATGAGGAGGCATTGATAGGTGGCACTGATGGGCATTGACAGGCATCACTGGTGGGCATTGACAGGCATCACTGATAGGCACTGAAAGGCAGCACTCATATATGGCACTGAGAGGCAGCACTCATATATGGCACTGATAGGCAGCACTCATGTATGGCACTGCTGGGCGGCACTGATGGGCATTGACAGGCATCACTGGTGGGCACTGAAAGGCAGCACTCATATATATGGCACTGATGAGGAGGCATTGATAGGTGGCACTGATGAGCATTGACAGGCATCACTGGTGGGCACTGAAAGGCAGCACTCATATATGGCACTGAAAGGCAGCACTCGTATATGGCACTGATGAGGAGGCACTGATAGGTGGCACTGATGGGCATTGACAGGCATCACTGGTGGGCTCTGAAAGGCAGCACTCATATATGGCACTGATGAGGAGGCATTGATAGGTGGCATTGATGGGCATTGACAGGCATCACTGGTGGGCATTGACAGGCATCACTGATGGGCACTGAAAGGCAGCACTCATATATGGCACTGAAAGGCAGCACTCATATATGGCACTGATGGGCAGCACTCATATATGGCACTGATGGGAGGCACTGATGAGGAGGCACTGATGGGCATTGACAGGCATCACTGACAGGCACTGAAAGGCAGCACTCATATATGTCACTGAAAGGCAGCACTCATATATGGCACTGATGGGGCAGCACTCATGTATGGCACTGATGGGAGGCACTGATTAGCAGGCACTGATAGGTGGCACTGATGGGCATTGACAGGTATCACTGGTGGGCACTGAAAGGCAGCACTCACATATGGCACTGATAGGTGGCACTGACTGGCACTGATAGGCAGCACTGAAAGGGAGCTCTGATGGTCACTGGTATGTGGCATTGATGGGCACTGACAGGTGGCACTGATGATCAGTGTAGATGATTTCCCCTCTGAGGAATGCCACTTACCGGCTCTCCTCTCCCCACGCGCTGTCAGCATGAGGAGAGGACTGCCGATAACCGCCATTTCCTATTTACATGTGATCAGCTGTGATTGGACACAACTGATCACATGATAGAGCCCTACGTCATCGGCTCTTTACTGTGATCACTGATCGCCGTAAGCCCCCCGGGGGTTGGCATGCGCAGCTAGAGTAGGAGAACATCATATGACGTCCTCCCAGTACATGCACACTTCTGGCACCTCCAGCACTGAGTGTATGCAATGACAAGGGGTGCTGGGGGGGCTGGGGGGGTCTATTGATGCTGGCTGCTGGGGGATCTAATGTAGTTAGAGGGGATCCATTTTTGTGTGGGGGGGTCTATTGTTGCTGGGGAGGTCTATTGTTGCTGTCGGGAATCTATTGTTGCTGGGGTGGAGGGATCTTATGTTGCTGGGGGTCATTGTTGTTGGGAGGGAGCTACTGTTGAGGGAGAGGTCTATTGATGCTGGCTGCTGGGAGATCTGTTGTTGCTGCTGGGGGTCTGTTGTTGCTGGGGTAGCATTTTGTTGAAGAGGGTCCATTGTTGCTGGGGGAGTCTAATGTTCATGGGGGGGGAGATATATTGTTTCTGGAGAGTCGATTGTTGCTGGTGGGAAATCTATTGTTTTGGGGGGAGAGGGGTCTTATATTCCCAGGGGAGTCGATTGTTGCTGGGAGGGAGGGATGTGCTGTTGTTGGAGAGGTCTATTGATGCTGGCTGTCAGGAGATCTGTTGTTGCTGCTTGGGGTCTGTGGTTGCTGGGGTAGTATTTTGTTGAGAAGGGTCTATTGTTGTTGGGGGAGTCTATTGCTCATGGGGGGGATATCGTTGCTGGGGGGGTGTCAATTGTTTCTGGCTGCTGGGGATCTAATGTAGTTAGAGGGGATGCAGTTTTTGTGTGGGGGTCTATTGATCCTGGGGAGGTCTATTGTTGCTGTCGGGGAATCTATTGTTGCTGGGGTGGAGGGATCTTATGTTGCTGGGGGTCAATTGTTGCTGGGAAGGAGCTATTGTTGAGGGAGAGGTCTATTGATGCTGGCTGCTGAGAGATCTGTTGTTGTTGCTGCTGGGGGTCTGTTGTTGCTGGGGGTAGTATTTTGTTGAGGAGGGTCCATTGTTGCTGGGGGAGTCTATTGTTCATTGATCTGTTGTTACAGCTGGGGGTCTATTGTTGCTGGGGTGGATTTGTTTGTTGTGGGGGGGGGGGGGGAATTGTTGGTGGTGGAGTGTATTGTTGTGGGGGGGTCTATTGTTGTGGGGGAGTGTATTGTTGCTGGGGGGTTCTATTGTTACTAACTGCAGGGATCTATCTTACTGCTTTTATTGTTATTATTAAAATAAAATAAATTATACTGGTTCTGATACTTCGTTGGATGGTGCAAAGAGGTGCGGAGACAAGGGGGTGACTCAGAAAAGGGAAGTTCCTGCACCTAATATCTGAGAAAAAAAGCCCCATTTGACGATTTTCTGGTTTTAATTCAAAACTGATGAGAAACCAGCAAATTGACAAAGGAAATTTTATTCTACAAGAATAAATTGGCTTGTCATGATATGATGGAAAAGCATCCAGTGTACCTATACCACATCCCATGCATTGGAGAGTACACCATATGAAAGGTCCATCTCCATTCCTCCTCAATAGTACGTCATGTTCCCAACAAATGAGGAGGAGATACTGGACACCATATGAAATGTCCATCTCCATTCCTCAATATAACGTCATGTTCCCAAAAAATGAGGAGGAGATACTGGACACCATATGGAAGGTCCATCTCCATTCCTCAATATAACGTCATGTTCCCAACAAAAGAGGAGGAGATACTGGACACCATATGAAAGGTCCATCTCCATTCCTCAATATAACGTCATGTTCCCTACAAATGAAGAGGAGATACTGGACACCATATGAAAGGTCCGTCTCCATTCCTCAATATAACGTCATGTTCCCAACAAATGAGGAGGAGATACTGGACACCATATGAAAGGTACATCTCCATTCCCTAATCTAACATGTTCCCAAAAAATGAGGAGGAGGAAGGTCCATTTGTGTTCCTTGCCATGCCATAGTCATTAGTGTATGTAAACCACCAGCCAGTCTGCTATGGTTGCTTTGGTTGCATTGTGCACCATATCTGACCTCTATCCTTGTGGTGTGTTGTTGTTTTTTATTACTGTACCTAATTCTGTGCCAGAGATCTAGCCAGTGAATTGTTGACTAGTAGACCAACCTACATGATTACTAAATGCAAAACATGAACAATGCTACTATTAATTAATAACAAATTTCAACAGGTGGAGCCAATGTCTGGAAGACCTCAGAAGGACGTCTTACTTTATCTGCAGACAATACTGGCGTGACACAATATTCTCCAGGAGTAATCACTGTTACCCAAAATACGCACCACAAACCTAATCCTACAGGAAGGTCAACAGATCAGTTTAATACCAAGGAGCCCAATAATGAATTCTGTACTGTTCTCCCAAAAGTCCAGCCAGAACAACCACCAGGTCCTTCCAATCCCGAGAGATCTTCCCCCAGTCATCTACATTCTTTTGGTGACTGTGAAAAATCGAGCCTAAAACACGGTGACCTGGTTGTCAATCAGAGAACTACCACCGATGACAAACCTTTCTCGTGTTCCGAGTGTGAGAAATCCTTTAAAAGGAAATCAGATTTATTTCTACACCACAGAGTCCACACCGGCGAGAAGCCCTACTGCTGTCCCGAGTGTGGCAAATGCTTCCAGAGAAGAGGAAACCTCAATATCCACATAAAAATTCACACCGGCGAGAAGCCCTTCTCCTGTCCTGAGTGCGGAAAGGGCTTCTCTGAAAAATGGGTCCGCAATAACCACATGAGAGTTCACACCGGCGAGAAACCGTTTTCCTGCTCAGAGTGCGACAGATGTTTTTGCGCAGAAAGTGTCTCTGAAACTCCACCAGAGAACGCACCACCAGAGACCGCTGAAAAACTAATGGAGGACTTTTATAGGCTGAATTGGTTAGAATAATCGTATGATAAAGGATCGGCCAACCCATGTGGAATATTATCGTTTTATGGCTTTGGTTTTCATTTTGTTGCGTATGGTAAATTCATTTTTTTAATGTATAATTTATTGTTCATCTTCACATTGCTCAGGTTGCTTTATACCAGGGGTGTCAAAATGGTGGCCCTCCAGCTGTTGCAAAACTACAAGCCCATCATACCTCTGCCTTTGGGAGTCATGCTTGTAACTGTCAATCCTTTGGGAAGGTGCATGTGATCAGCACAGTGCCAATCACAACTATCCAGACAGAGGGTCAGGGGTTATGCAGCATCATAGGATAGTCAGAGCAGTTTATAATACCTTACTAAAATAATTGCATTTCCATGTTCTGTCTACTGTGGGAGACCAGTTTATATTAGTGAATGCATTTCCATGGGTCCTGGGGAGACCAGATATAGTAAATGCAGGGTCGGGGGAGACCAGATATAGTAAATGCAGGGTCCGGGGAGACCAGATATAGTAAATGCTGGGTACGGGGAGAGAGGATATAGTGAATGCAGGGTCCTGGGACAGCGGATATAGTGAATGCAGGGACCGGGGAGAGCAGATACAGTGAATGCGGGGTCCGGGGAGAGCGGATATAGTGAATGCGGGGTCTGGGGAGAGCGGATAGAGTGAATGCGGGGGTCTGGGGAGAGCGGATAGAGTGAATGCGGGGTCCGGGGAGAGCGGATAGAGTGAATGCGGGGTCCGGGGAGAGCGCGGATAGAGTGAATGCGGGGTCCGGGGAGAGCGGATAGAGTGAATGCGGGGTCCGGGAGTGAATGCGAGAGTCCGGATAGAATGAATGCGGGGTCTGGGGAGAGCGGATAGAGTGAATGCTGGGTTCGGGGAGAGCGGATAGAGTGAATGCGGGGTCCGCGGACAGTTGTTACTGGGAAGAGAATTCGGGAAATTTCTTCAACAGGGATAAGAGAAAATACCCCGACATAGGTTGTCACCTTCTCCATTCTTTCAAAAATGAAAAAAAAAAAGGTTTAGGCTGGATTTTCAATTTTCTGAAGTTCTCCGGGAACGATGGTGGGGACTCGGATTATCCTCCTTTTTTGGACACTCACCTGTGCAGGTATGCTGGGGCAGCCAAGCCTGAGTTAGGGACTAGGTTCGGGTAACGGAAGTCAAGCAGCCTGTCCTTAGGGGTGTACCTTTTGCAAGTGGGGGGTCCTGTAGCAGCAAGGGGGGTGGTTATCAGCAGACCAAAAAAGAGATTTGTGAAAAGAGATTCACAAGAAAGCGGCTACATTATGGACAGAATGCAATACTCAGAAAAATTTCCAAAAATTATGCTTTATTACACATTAATGATTGACACTCGGGCAATCGCCCTGGTTTACCATCACCTCAGTATGAGACAATACACACAGACCTAAAACCATTAAAATCACACCAAGACCGGTCTGGATATATATGTGCTGCAAAGGCTATGACAACCATAGTCTAAAGCATTTGCAGCACCGCACATTGGTTACACTCCCTGTAGGAGGTGTTTTCAAAAATTGTACCATAGGTATATAATATCACATGCATGAGGGTAGTTATCAGCACCCTCTTCCCTAGCCGTCCGTCCACCATAGCAATGGGCGCAGATCAGTGCCGCAGAGGGCCCGGCCCTGGACGCTGGGTTCGGAAGAGAGTTATGGAGCTAGGTGGACTGCAAGCAGGGGCGGACTGACCATTTGGAAACTCGGGCACTGCCAGAGGGCCGGGGGGGTCAGTAGGGGGCCCCATGAGATGCCCCTGGTACCTTTTTCAAAGGCTTTTTTTTTGAGTTTGGGCAAGGACACAGGGGCCCCATGATCCCCTATTGCGGGGGGCCATGAGTTGTCAGTCCACCCCTGACTGCAAGACTCCATTCTGGGAGCGAGGGAACAGAAATACCTGGATGGGGCATGTAGCAATATGTTATATGCTGTGTATGGCCTCTAGGGGTCTCACTACTTAGATACTGGTACAACTGTGTTATTCCCACTCTTTGGTTGTAGTTCTTAGGCAGACACATGTATAATGGCAGCTAGGAGCACCTAATAAATGTCTCCTACTAACTACAGTGTGTGAGCATCTGAGCAGGATCTACTAACAGAACATGGTGGCAGCTGGGCACTGAACCTCTGAATAGCAAGTCTTCTGTCTACAAATACAGATTGTGTGACACTAGAACTGTACAGAGAATCAGCAACTGTAAGTACAGAGTCCCTATCAGACTGCACTATGGAGAGTGGCCTGAAACCCCCTCAGAGACTGGATGTCACTTCTTCCAATCTCTCACAGACATGGAGACACTGGAAGGAAGAATTTACTCTGTATGTGGACCTGACAGTGGCACCCAGAGATGAGCAGAGGGAAGTAAAGCTGTTTTATTACTTGATTGGGGAAAAAGGCAGAGAACTAGCCGAGACCCTGCTCACAGACAGCATGGCACTGACAGACATACTGCAAGCATTTGATAAGCACTGTGACCCCAAAAAGAATGAGACAGTAGAGAGATACAAGTTCTTCTCAAGGAATCAGGAGATTGGGGACAGTGTCGACAGATATGTGACAGAGCTGAGGAGACTGGCTGCAACCTGTGGATTTGGGGACATCAGGGACTCCCTTATCCGAGACAGGATAGTGTGTGGCATCAGAGACTCTCGCCTCAGAGACACAGATTACTGAGGGAGGAAGAGCTGGCTTTGGAGAAATGTATACAAATCTGCAGGGCTGCTAAGCTGACTAAAGACAGGCTGAAGATGATGGAGGGCACCAGTGATGCCTCAGTACATGCAGTATCTGTGAAAGGCAGAGCAAGGTCCAGACTCCCTGTGAGCTCAGTCGAGTGTAAATACTGTGGCAAAAGACATGAAAGAGACAAAGAGAAATGTCCAGCGTATGGGGAGTCCTGCAGGACTTGTGGCAAGATGAACCACTTTTCAGCTGTGTGCAGATTCAAAACCAGCAAACAGTACAGACAAGTCCACACAGTGACCCAGGACACAGACGAGGACAGCACAGAGGGCATCACATGACTGCAGCTGCAGTCTGCAACAGAGAACGTCAATGTAGTCAAACAGCCAGTAGCCAATGATGCAAAGCAGCTCTTTGCCATATTTATGGTGGACGAACAGCCCATAAGATTTCAGCTGGATTGTGGAGCAAGCTGCAATGTCATTCCATTTACTCTGCTTAACAAACAGGTTCCCATTGAGCCCACTGATAAGGTACTGGTCATGTACAACAAAAGTGTTCTGAAACCCATAGGAACATGCAAGCTAAAATTAAGAAATCCACGTAAAGAAAGAGCTACAGAGTGGAGTTTACTGTGTTGCAGGAGGACGATCACATTCCTTTGCTGGGAGTTAAAGCAGTTCAGGCGATGGACTTAATAAAGGTGCAGTCCCATAACATCATGGCTCTGGAAGTTTCTGAGAACACTCAAAATCCTAAACAAAAGGCAGAATACATTTTGGATTTTCACCACATAAAAACAGAGTATGCTGATTTATTTGAAGGTGATGGTTGCCTGGAAGGTAAATACAACCTAGAAATTGATCATACAATACAGCCTACCAGACTGCCTACAAGAAGAGTACCTGTAGCATTAATGCAACCGCTTAAAGAGGAACTGCAGGATTTGCACAGCAGAGGTATGATAGCACCAGTACAGGAAAGCACAGACTGGATAAGCAGTTTGGTGATAGTGAAAAAACCATCAGGCAAGTTAAGAATAATGCATTGATCCTAAGCCACTGAACAAGGCCCTTAAAAGAAATCACTATCCAATGCCAACAATAGAAGATATTCTACCAGATCTATCAAAGGCTAAAATATTTTCGGTATGTGATGTGAAAAATGGGTTCTGGCACGTGGAACTGGATAAAGAATCAAGTTTATTAACAGCATTTTCTTCCCCATTTGGACGCTATAAGTGGCTGAGAATGCCAATGGGAGTAAGCCCGGCTCCAGAAGTGTTCCAACAAAAATTGATGCAAGCTTTGGAAGGACTGTCTGGAGTAAAAATAATAGCAGATGATATACTAATAGTTGGGGAAGGTGATGATCTAGAATCCGCAACAAAGGATCACGATAAAAAGATGATACAATTCTTAGACAGATGTAGAAAAAAACAAATCAAACTGAACCTTGAAAAATTCAAACTAAAAAATGACAGAAGTACCATATATTGGACATCTTCTTACCTCAAATGGTGGTTAAAGTCGATCCAGAGAAGGTGAGGGCAATACAGGACATGCCTACACCTACAGATATACGTGGAGTACAACGATTCCTGGGCATGGTGAATTATCTTTCCAAATTTTGCAAGCATTTATCAGACATGTGTGAGCCACTGAGACAGCTAACTCACAAAGACGTACTCTGGGAATGGACAGAAAGCCATGAAACTGCTTTTCAGTCAGTGAAAAATGCTATTGCAGACGCAGCAACGCTAAAATATTTTGATCCAGATCAAGCAGTGGTAGTACAATGTGATGCCTCAGAAACTGGCCTTGGAGCCACACTAATGCAGGATAAACAGCCAATCACATATGCAAGCAGAGCGTTAACTCTAACAGAGCAAGGATATGCTCAAATCGAGAAGGAACTTCTAGCGGTAGTATTTGGGTTAGAGAAATTTCACCAGTACACCTACGGTCGACAAGTGGTGGTGCATTCAGATCACAAGCCTTTAGAAAGTATTACAAAGAAGCCACTACTGAATGCCCCAAAAAGACTGCAGCGTATGCTGTTAAGGCTTCAGAAAATATGATTTTAACATTTGTTACTGTCCAGGGAAGGATTTACTGATTGCAGATGCCCTAAGCAGAGCTTACTTACCCATCACAAATGAAGAAGAAAAAGACATTGAAAGCATCAATATGTGTGAATA